TGCTAACTGGTTAGCAAGATGCTTCCAACAAACCGGCCACAACTTAAGTTGCTTACGAACCTTCTGCCACAACAACCCCGCCTCCTTGATAATCGACCAATCACATTCACTTTATTCACTCGTATAAAGTCGGGAACCACTCGGGAGAATTCGGAAATGCAACGATTGGAACAGCCGCTTCCCTACAAGTTTAAAGTTTTCTGTTGATGGAATAAGAAATTACTTTAAGAATAGTAGCTCTGGCGATAAAATAAATTAATTTACAAGTGCATGACCTAAAATGAATTTCCTGTTGGGATGAATAAAGTATTATTGAATTAAAGGAATATTGGATTAAGATCTGTTTTTCTCTCCCAGCTCTCCTGTCATTCACCTTCATCCACTATGCCCTGGCTTTCACCGCTGTCGTCCTCTTCTATGTGTTTTACACCCAACCTGACGACTGCACGGAGCACAAGGTCTTCATCAGCCTCAACCTCCTCTTCTGCATCGTTGTGTCTGTCGTTTCCGTTCTGCCTAAAGTCCAGGTATGGTTCTTTTGTTGGGACTACATATCTGTGTTTACTAAAACACATGCAGACTACCTGGTTTCTGAGCATAAACCAGCCTTTAGTTTGAGAGATTTCCTTCCAGTCAATGAGTCGATGCAATCAACTGGTTTTCCTTGGATTAAAAAACTGAATAAATTTGACTTTAAGATCTGGTGAATTGTTAAGTGCCTTGAGATGGCATGTCTTGTGAATTGGCGCTATAGAAATAAACTGAATTGAATTATTTGCTTTCTCTCATATTGTTGACCTAAAGTCTTTCATCCGGAAATGTTAATCTTCCTGCAGAGTATAATTGTAAAGCACGATACCTGCAGTCTATGGAATGCATTTAAATCAATGCAGCAGTGTCTGTAATAGAGCCTTGATGGAGGATTCTATTGTCAGCTCTGGCATCTTAAAGCATCTAACTGTTTTTACAGGAGGCTCAGCCCACGTCAGGCCTGCTCCAGGCTTCCCTCATCTCCCTTTACACCATGTATCTGACCTGGTCAGCCATGACCAACAATCCCAGTAAGTCCTGTACATTCCAGGTCCTGTTTATCTGCAGGTTGTTTGGAAGAGAGAGCAAAAGACTCTAAAGTAAACAGTGTTTAAACTAAATTGTGCATCCTCATCTCAGACAAGAAGTGCAACCCCAGCCTGTTGAGTTTAGTCCAGCCCAGCAGCCCCACTCCGCCGCCTCTAAACCCCACTTCAGCTCCAGGCAACGTGCAGTGGTGGGACGCGCAAAGCATTGTGGGACTCCTCATCTTCCTGTTCTGCACGCTTTATGCCAGGTATTTGATTGTTTCAAATCATGGTGACACACTAGGCTGTAAAATAAGTGATATTGGTGAGATAAATCTTCCCTTAGAGTTGAATCAATAAAAATCCCCCAGATTTGCATCAAGTTGGAAGTCAAATGAATGTAAGTATGTCTTTAATGTTACTCAGAGGGAACTGGCTAATGGTAAAATCACAAGATCAAAATAAATGAAAGATAACACAGCAGTATCTTGTTTACTGAACCATACAATTCATAAAACAAAGAAACCTGATCATCTCCATTATCTTATTTCAAATGCATGATAGCTAATTATCTTGATTTAAGGGGAAAAAAATACTAATTTAATTGGATCATTTTATTTACTTTTTTAAATTAAAGGAAAAGTCCGATCAGCAAGGAATGATCATTGGATCATTATCTATACCTAAAACTAATATGATCGTTAATCAGTAAAAAAAAAAATTTGTCGCAATCACCAAGTCAGGGAGCGGCCATTTTTGCCCAAATATAGTAACCCCTCCCTCCTGCCATCTTCCAGCAGTGACGTCACGGTGCGGTGAGCCTAGCGCCATTCTCCCCGCTTTACAAGCTAAATCAACGGGAACTACTAGACACATCTGCTATCAACAACAATTATTGAAGATTTCCAGAGGACTTCACCATTGAAATTCACCAGAGCTATAGTGAATCTGACAATGCCCACGTGCATGGCAGCTGGATGCTGGAATACATCGGGGAAAAGTGGAAAAAAAGAGTTATTTCACCTTTCTGATTCATATGCTGATGAAGGTTCTCAGTCATCCAGGTCGTAGTCATTCCGTAAAAATTCAAAAAATATCCACTGGACTTGGTTTTCAAGATTTGAAGACGTTTCTCCACCTCTCCAGGAAGCTTTCTCAATTCAAATGTCTGGAGTGAGTTTGAGTCTTATATAGACAACGCCTTGTATCGCTTGGAAACATGCAATGGTAACCGATGAATGGGTTGTTAGTTCCATCGTTAGCCTGTAATATCTGAACCTGTCTATGATTCTAGGGGTCGGTCGTTAAAGGGGGGATTGCCATTAAGGGGGGGGGGGGTTGTCTCCTGTAATACCTGAAACCTGTCTATGATTGTTAAGGGTTGGTCGTTAAGGAGGTATTGTTCACCGGCTGGAGCGGGTAAGTCCCTCGTTCCTCTGTGATGGGGTGGGGGGTTAAACAGAGGCTAGTGCATCCTAAAGATAAAACCCCCAGACCGAATATAAGCGGAGTGGTATATGCTGTTCAGTGCAGTGAGGAATGCTCTGATCTTTATATTGGAGAAACAAAACAACCTCTCCACAGACGCATGGCCCAACACAGAAGAGCGGCCGCCTCTGGACAAGACTCCGCAGTACACCTACATCTTGTGGACAAAGGACATTCTTTTGAGGACCAGAATGTCCATATTCTGGATAAAGAAAATAGGTGGTTTGAGAGGGGCGTGAAGGAAGCCATCTATGTTTAGAGAGAAAAAACAACTTTAAACAGAGGTGGTGGACTCAGATTCCAGCTTCCAAAAACATACAATTCAATCATAGACATGATCCCTTCCAGATATCACCAAACCCCCCACCCCATCACAGAGGAACGAGGGACTTACCCGCTCCAGCCGGTGAACAAAACCTCCTTAACGACCAACTCTTAACAATCATAGACAGGTTTCAGGTATTACAGGAGACAATCCCCCCCTTAATGGCAATCCCCCCTTTAACGACCGACCCCTAGAATCATAGACAGGTTTCAGATATTACAGGCTAACGATGGGACTAAACGACCCATTCATCGGTTACCATTGCATGTTTCCAAGCGATACAAGGCCTTGTCTATATAAGACTCAAACTCACTGCGGATCCAGACATTTGAATTGAGAAAGCTTCCTGGAGAGGTGGCGAAACGTCTTCAAATCTTGGAAAACAAGTCCAGTGGATATTTTTTGCATTTTAACTGAAACCTTTCTGATTCCTCATCCTCCACGGACGGGTGGGTCGTTGGATCGCCAACTTGAAGAGGGAGGATTTGCCATTGAACTTCTGGCCAGAGAAAAAACCCGTAATATGTAGCCAACATTTGGAAGAAGAATGTTTTCAAGATGACTTGGATAATAGTGTGTTGTGACAAACACCAGATACAGCACTGGGACTTGATCAACAGCCGATACCGCACAGTGACGTCACAAACCAGTAGGTGGCAGTAGTGTTCTTTGACAAACATGGATGCCTCCAGTAAAGCACATTCACATGAAAATTCAAAATATTTATCACGGGCGTGCAGGTGGCCCAGTGGTTAGAGCGCACGACCCATGTATGGAGGCCTTAGCGCTCGACGAGGATGACCCGGGTTCGAATCCGATCCGTGGTCCTTTGCTGCATGTCTCTCCCCCTCTCATACCCCCTTTCCTGTCAGCCCTGCTGTCAAAAAAATGAGCCACTTTAAAAACTCAAAAATAAACTTTTCATTTATGTAATAATTTCATATTTAAAGTACTTTCAGAAGTTTAAATTCTAAGTATGATCTGTATTTTCCTTGAAGGGAAAAATCCAGCTGAAACATCCCGTGCTTATTTTAAATGAGTCATGACTCTGTACTTTAGATAATTTAATGTTACTGAAATTGCAATTAAATTAATGTTTAATATTTTTTAGGGGGTTGGGAATCATCAATGGGAGGATAATCCTAATCTTTGTGGTGAGCGCACCTTTCTGGGCTTTTCTGCTTTGAAAATGGAGCCCACCCAAAAAAAACAGGTCAATTCAACTCTCAATTGAAAACCAAGCACTCAAATTCAAACAAAAAACCTCCAATTTCTGAGCTCTTTGATGTCAATATCAGATTTATTGATTTATTTTCCAGTGAAGCGGCTCAGGCTGCTGTGGTTACGGCGGATTGGAAGCCTTCTTTGGCCGCTTGCTGTAACCTGCTGCCTTAAGATGTGTTGATTTCCATTTTTCTGCAGCATCCGCTCCTCCAACAACAGCCAAGTGAACAAGCTGATGCAGACGGAGGAAGGCCAGGGTCTGACTGCAGACACCGAGATTTCAGTGGGGGAGGACGGGGTCCGCCGCGCCGTGGACAACGAAGAAGAAGGCGTAACCTACAGCTACTCGTTTTTCCACTTCAGCCTCTTCCTGGCCTCTCTCTACATCATGATGACCCTCACTAACTGGTACAAGTAAGTATCCCATTGCTTCCTGTTCTTACGTTCCCCACAGCTGAGCAGATTCATTACTATTATTTTTTATAATCTCCAGACCTGACACCGTCTATGAGACCATGCAGACCGCCATGCCGGCTGTCTGGGTGAAGATCTGCTCCAGTTGGCTCGGTCTGGCGCTCTACCTTTGGACCCTGGTGGCTCCTCTGGTGCTTCCTGATCGAGACTTTAACTAAACATACTTCAGCATATCAGCGTGGTGCACCTTGGGTTAAATCTGCTTCATCCTATAAGGCTCTATTTTTATAAAGGGGTTTATTCCCGTACTTTTATATTTTAATGGATGCAGGTTATTTCATGTCTGTAGTGATGGGATGATTGTTTTCTAAGAGCAGTTTGAGCTTTAAGCACATTCCATCTGTTGTTTTTGCTTCACTGTTAGAAAGAGTTACTGAAAGAGAATTACACGCCGATCAAATATTAAAAGGTGTTTTTTTCTTTGATGTTTTAGATAATAAGCCTGTTAAATAATTAGTTAATTATAATTTCTAGTTTTTGTTCTACCCAATATTGAAAGAAGTGCCTTACTGTATCTTGGTGTTTTCCTGAAATGTTGCTGTTCTGTATAAAGATGGAGCTGACGTTGTGCTTTTAATGCTGTCCTGTAGGGGGTGCTGTTGTCCTTTTGATTTAATATGATGGGTTCGTTAATTAACTGAGATTCTTTTTCTTAAATTCTGTTGAACTTCAGTTGTTCTTCGTCTCCGTCTTCATGTTAGCCTTTTTCTGAGCTGATCACAGGATTCTGCTAAAAAGTTTTTTTTATTAATTGATGTGTCGTTGATCAAGAAAAAAAAAAAAAGGTCTGATCACAAGATAAACACAAATGGATGCAACATAACAGCTCCTCCTAGAATACTAAATTCACTGAAGGTTTTATCTGCGGTCAGACTGGTGACTGTCCAATGAATTCCTGCAACACATAAAACACTTTATGGTTAAGTTCAGACACCCCAACTGGAATATAACTGCAAGTCTTTATGCACGCACAATCATGATGTAATATTTGCTCTTATTTATGGTCACTCCTTTTGACTTCCTCTGTCTGATTTTCATTCATGTCTAAATTTGATTTAAACAAAGAATTTAAACAATAAAAAAATGCAACAAAAGAGCTTTAAGCTCCTCAGTTGAACTGTTCAGATGCTTTTGGGCCTTTTATATTAGCCAAAGATATTTTATTGGAGAAATTATTTGATAAAACCATCAAAGTTTTTTTAATTGTTTCAAGCAAATGAATGTCAGATTCTGTTGTTTAATTCACAAAATAAAAAAACCTTTTTTAACTCCACATTTAGTCTGAAAACAGTCTTTATTCTTTATGCCTTTATTAAACAATATTCATACCAAAGCCATGTTCTGCTCTTTTATTAGTTTGCATTATTGCTTTTAAGAGTTTATTCAACCCAAATAGAACAGACTATGCTTTTTTTTTTTTACCTAAATGCAAAATGGCAGCATTAAGGGAATGTTTTATAACAGAAGAGAATATATTGACAGGGCTACCAATGTGTCTTTAAGATCTTTAAAAGTTTGTCAAAAGAAAAAAAATTGGAGAAACCTTTTAGAAAATGCGAATAGAAGGATACCTACCTTCAAGGTCTTTGGATGTTTTTGGGGTTTGAAGTTTCATACAGAGGGCAGCCAATTTTAACCTGTTGTCTTTTTTGGAGTTGAAATCTTGCTTGTAGTACATTCTTCTAGGTAAATTGGTGCATTGCCAATTACTTTAAGTCATTGGAAAATGCTATTTTACAAAACGCACAGAAAGCAACGAACCCAAAAAGCAAACATTCTGCCAGATGCAGAGTCTGCTGTAAATCGATCAAAGGTGAGAGCATGGATGAAGCTGAATTATGCAGCCATGCTAAATGAACTTATCAGAAAAAAAAAGCTTTCAAAATCTGTCTTGAAGTTACAAACATTTGCATACAAATCACTAATTAGAAACAAAAAAAATAGTTTGCCTTAATTTGCTGCTTATGTTCAGGGCTGGACGAAACCTGCACTTTCAAAACTGCTTTATTTATTATTGCAGTTTGCAGTGCAGTGTTTGGATAATAATATTGTGGATGCAAAAAACTTTGCTTTAGGGGAGTCAAATTCTATATTAAATCTGGCCTGCAGGTTCATTTCTCATCAACATATGCAATTTACACACATGCTATTGACTTAGTTCACTGCAGTGGTTTGCTCAGAAAGGGCATTTTGATCAAAGTTTCACTTTTGTTACTGATGGTTTATATATCTTAATTATCTTAGGCCTACATTTAAAGTATTCACTAAGAAACGCTTGGATCATTTATGAATGCAAAGACTTAAACAACTCTTTGAGTCTAAACTAGCTTCATTTAAACAAAGTCATGTCATTCTGAACATGCATGAATTACTTCAAATCTTATAAAACAGTGATGTACACCTTAACATCCTTAATGTATGTAGGTTGGACATTTCTAGTGTTTTTTCGGATTGTGTTGGGGCTTAAGTGTCCGACGTAGCTAAGCTTCATTTACAGAGGTAATGATCCAAAATGGCCTTTGATTTGCAAGAAGCCCATTATAAGTGTTTTCTTTTTTTTCCTGTTGTCTGTTGACCAATAGATGTCAATTCAGTTTAGTTTATTTATACAACACATGTCATCTTAAGGAAATTTACAATTCAACCAGGTCATACAGTCAAATTGATTCAAAGTTTTCTATCTTAGGAAAATCGCATCGACTCATTGACTCTTCAGTAATCCCTCACACTAAGCATGCTTTTAGCGACAGTGGAGAGGAAAAACTCCCTTTGAACAGGAAGAAACCTCCAGCAGAACCAGGCTCAGTGTGAGCGGCCATCTGCTGAGGCCGACTGGGGTTCAAGGAGACAGAAGCAGACATAGAAAAAGAAGCATAGATACAAAAGGCAACTGTCAACCAGCTCCACAGGAAACCAACAGCCAGGCAGACGAGCTCCGAGCCAGCTCCCATGTCAGAGGATGAAGCACATCCACTTAGTCACAGTCAGAGAAACAGGACCACTCAGAAAAAACAGCTGATATTTCTCTCCAGGATGGTGTCACAGCCAAACAGGAACAGACCAGATGGTTTCAGGTGTAATCTCTATTACAGGAAAAAATAGATGGTGATACCAGTGCATAGAGATATTCTACAACCAGTGGTACATCTACATCTCTGATCTCAGGGAAATAAGGACAGATCTCTTCCCTAAAAAAGTCAGTGTTTACCAACTGCAGAGCAGTTTGGCACTGGTTAAACGTATACTGGAGGATTTTTGCAAATATTTGAAAAGACCTGTAGTCTCCACTTAAAAAAGAAAAAAAGAAAAGCAGAACCCTGTACCCGAGAAGTTACGCTAGTGATGGGTTAATGAGGCCTCTTGAAGCATTTAGACACATTGCCAAACTGTTTTGATGCTGCATTGATACTGTCTCACTGAATACTGACACCTGCTGGACCTTTGAAGACAAAGGTAGCTTATTTGACAGGCTAAACTGAATTGATGACCAAGTACACTGATATAATTAAAGTTATTGTATATTATGTTGCATCATTTCATTTCTATGTTTGAAATGCAAATATCATTGATATCTTTAGATGCAGTCAATAAATAATGTAAACTTTTAATGTGAAAATTACGGGGAAAATGTGAATGAGGATGCTTGTGGACTAAGATTTTAAATCCTATTTTTAAAACTATAAGTACAGTAAAAACAGTAAATAAACTAAGAGTCAATTTGAACTTAACTTAAATTCAGATAAGTTGAGTTATAACTGAGAGGAAAAATATGACACAACAAGAACATTAAAATAAAAACGCAACGGTTGAAACGTTCCTATTCTTTTTAGGGTGCTAAAACATTCTTGATAATTTTAATGATAAACCGCAAAAGATGAGAAATTTTTTTAGCAGATACATCATGCTGACAGATACGTTTTTAAACACAGTTTAGTGAGTCAGTTGGAAACAGTTCCCATATCTGTGATGCATGACTTTCTTTTGAGGATACGTGCCCCCATACAGTGTTTTGTTCTATGGGCTTGACTCATGCATCATTGTTGATGGACCCATCACTGGGGAACGCCTATTAAATGTGTGTGAGAGCGTGCAGAAGCCCATTTCTGCTCGTGCACGCTCTGTTTTAAAGTTTCTGTTTGCATCGCTCATTCAAGCTTACTTTCCAAAAGAGGATTTGCAATTTTTCCACTTGTCAGACTCACCACCGGTAAGTAAAAATGGGGACAAGCACATAGGACGGCCTTACGTAAACATATCCAAAGAATGATTGACAATTAGGATGACCACTAATTTTGATGATCCATCCAGAAAAACAACATCCTAAACTATATCTTTAACTATTTGAGTGCACACATTTGGTTGATCCATTTCGCCACCTTTTGGTTGCATGGTTTACAGTAGTAGCCATTTAAAATTTCCCCACTTTCCTTGATGATCCTTTGGCTGGTTCCCTGCAATTCCTTTCTAAACATCAATCTTTGTACTAAAATATTCTTTCTGTCATTATTTTTGGACATTAAGATCTAAAGAGAAGCATCATCTTCTGGTCAGACCCTGTAATTCAGTGAAATGCACATCAGGGAGAAGTCTAGCGGCTGGAAGTAGGAGGGGATTTTGCTGGGAGTAGCAGGAGAGTAGGCTGCCTTTCGGCTGGTGTTTGACGCTGAAGGGGGATTTTGAATTGCTGCTAATACTTTTCATTTGAGTTGGTTGCCAGTTCCTGGAAAGCTGCTATGTGGCTCGGCTTGGCCGGTGAAGCAAAATTCCCAGCTGCAAAAAACTGGCACTGAGAATAACAGTGAGGAAAATAAGTATTTGAACACCCTGATATTTTTCTCACTTAGAAATCATGGAGGGGTCTGAAATTGTCATTGTAGGTGCATGTCCACGGAGAGAGACATGATCCAAAAAAAAAAAAAAATCCACACATATTACTTTAATTTTATGACGTCACACAGTTAATAGTGGGTCCTGTGTGAAGCAGGGAGTTATGGAGGTATTCAGAGCTGAGCAGAGTCAGAGAGGCTAGCGGAAAAAGATCCTATACTCAACTCTGCTGTTCAGTTAACAAATAAATTTATCTGACCAACTATTTAAAGGGAAATAAAAAGGTCTTTCCACATGGAGTTTGCATTTTCTCCCTGAGCACATGTAGGTTCTCTCCGGGTACTCTGGCTTCCTCCCACAGTCCCAAAACATTACTGTTAGATTAATGGCTTCTCTAAATTCTCATGTCGGCGTGAATGGTTGTCTGTCTTGTGTTGTGTGTCTGTGTTGCCCTGCGATGGACTGGTGACCTGTCCAGGGTGTACCCCGCCTCTCGCCCTTAGACAGCTGGAGATGGACACCAGCATCCCTTGCGAATCCGCTTGGGATAAGCGTGATGAAAAATGGATGCATGGATGAATAAAGTGAATTGAATTCAAAATCC